TAATTCGCCAGGGATTTTTTCCGTTTAATAAATTTGAATTTGAATTATATTAAACAATATCTCCGGAATCAAAGCCATTCAGGTGAATGGGCCAATTGTGAGCATACCAATGGCTAAAGTGGGTCAATGATCAAAGAAAATTTGCTCATTGGAGAGTGATTTCGAGATTTTAGGAAAGTTTGAAGCTTCACTCCTCTATAAGAGCTTGTACACAGTCACAAAAAAAATAATTTTTGGAAGACAAATTAATCGCGTTTGTTAAATAACTTTTTTATGGTACATTTTCCAAAACCAAGTTTTARTGTTTTCTTAGTTTTGCCTACAATTTTGCGCGAATTTTACATTTTTATTTTTTTCTCCCAAACAAAGCATCTTATTGAGCTGATTCGGCATGGCTCAAGGCAACATTTTCAAGTTCGTCCTRTAAAAGATTTTTGAAAAATCTCCTAAATCTAGTGTTCAATTTTTTTCACTTTTTTYGAAGCCAAAGACCTTCGCTCATTTCTTACCACGCCCCTGGACATAACATAAATAATAAGCGAGCCACTGGCGATTTTGGCCTTTCGGAGCAATGTTCCTGAGCTCCRAAAGGAAAAATTTCTTCAATTTGAGCCCCCACATGCACAAACAGAAGACATTGTCAGGCAGCTGAAAYCTTCAGCTAGTGAAAACTAGYTTCCCTTGTTCGTAAGAAACTTGGAATTTTCCAGTCTGAAATCCGAATTAAAAAGCAACGTGTTATGCGAAAATGTCCCTTAATCCAGCCGAGTTRTAKRATATTTTAATCAAATTACCACTACGGCTCATCAAGCGCGGTTCAAYTTTAGCCCACGGTTGTGGCATGGCGACGCTGCAAAGAGACAGAGACAGGCCGCGATCCGGGTCCAATAAGATTCTTGCGGGTGTTGCCATGACGACCCCGGAATCAACCCCCGGATTGCCATCTTAGGGTTGTGAAATCCGGGACGGGGTTGCGATTTCCTCCCCGTGTCTTTGCCTTCGAGCCGGTTTGTTAATCGCAACTTTTGCCGCTCTGGACCAGCCCCCCTCCTCGCTGAAGAAGAACAAACGTTTTCGAAATTTGTGGAAAAAACAGCCGAAGATCAAACGAGCCGATATTGGGAAGGCGCAGCCCGGTTCAAATTGATAGTGACGCGTTTCCGGTCTCTAATTGACGTGTGCGAAGTGATTGATGCACCGCTTCCGGCCGCCATTTTGGATCGACCTGCTTAATTGCTCCCCTTATCGCGGCCGCCCCTGATCCCGATTGTTTTCGCATCATCTCACCGTCCTCCGCACTGGAAAGATGAATGGTTCTATTGACATCATTGATCAAAACGAGGCCAACAAATCAATAGGTTTCATTGCTGTCCTTGTCTGTCGACGTACATGTCATTTAGCGTTGACACCAAATGACATTAGTGACAGTTATAAAACCGCAAAATTCCCGTCATGGATTTTTTTTCGTCCTGCGTGCCGGACCAAGTGAGCCTCTACTACTACGTGGTGGTGGCAGTGTGCGTGATTGGCGCCCTCTACATCAACGACATGTTCAGCAAAATGGGCAGCTATCGCAGCTACGGCAACAAGCAACTGATCAGCTACGGCTACGACAACCACAACGGCCCCTCGCTATGGAAGAACCTCTTTGAGGCGGCCAAAGGTCATAAACAGTCGCCGATCAACCTGCTCACCCCATGTGCAATCGCGGTGCCATCTGAGCTGCACCCGCTGAAGTTCTCCGAGCAGTTCCATCACACGCCATACGAGATGAAGATGTACAACAGCGGGTTGAATGCGGTTCTCTATGCCAAGTGGAGCGGCTTGATGCGCCCGAGCATCTCAGGAGGGCCGCTGGAGCAAGAGGTGTACAATTTTCTGAATGTCCGCTTCAGATGGGGCCCGGACAACCACGAAGGATCCGAGCACATGGTGGACACCAAGCGATATGCAGTGGAGATGCAGGTGGCCTTTATGCGGAACGGCGACAACCCAAAGTGCGACCTTCTGGACGCCGCTCTGTCCGGGGACTTGCTGATGCTCAGCTACGTTTTCATGGTCACGCCCATCGACAATCCCTACTTGGAGCCGATCATTCAAGCACTGAAGAGCTTGAAGTTTCCGATGAGCTGCGCTCTGCTCTGCCCATTTCCCTTAAGGCTGCTCACGCCGCTTTTTTCGAAAAACTACTTCTACTATGAGGGATCGCTGACCTTTCCGCCGTGCACTGAAGGCGTGAAATGGATCGTACAACCGGAACCGTTGCTGATCTCCAGCCGACAAGTGAACAAGTTCAGGAAATTGGGCGCGTGCAATTGTGCGCCCATTATGAGCAACTCGCGCCCGGTCCAGATGGCAAATGGAAGGGAAATCTTCTACTATGACTGAATTGAATGTTTTGGCTCAGAATGTCGATTAAATTAAAGCGGATCAAACTCTGGCAGCTCATATTTTCAGTTGGCAAACTCGCAATTTCAAAAGTCCAAACGCCGAAAGGCGGCTAAAGTATTAACCAGACTTAACGAGTAATTTTTGACATTTATTTGGCTTACATTTGGTCATGGTCACTGTATATACTTTCCTGACTGTGTTTCAATTCCAAATCAAATCTATTCTTGGGTTTCAGTCATTTATTGTCTCTATTTATTAATCAAAATACGTTTCGTTGTATTTTTCCACCATCATCAGTTTTTATGTGTAGCGTTGTTGCTGCTTTAAGCCTTGCCATGCATTTTTTGCATGCAAAAAAATAAAAATGTAAAATTTGCGCAAAATTGTAGGCAAAACTAAGAAAACATTAAAACTTGGTTTTAGAAAATGTACCATTAAAAAAGGTATTTAACAAACACGATTAATTTGTCTTCCAAAAATTATTTTTTTGTGACTATGTACTAGCTCTTATAGAGGAGTGAAGCTTCAAACTTTCCTAAAATCTCGAAATCACTCTCCAATGAGCAAATTTTCTTTGATCATTGACCCACTCTAGCCATTGGAATGCTCACAATTGGCCCATTCACCTGAATGGCTTTGATTCCGGAGATATTGTTTAATATAATTCAAATTCAAATTTATTAAACGGAAATCTTCCATGGCGCATTATACAATGCGTATAAAAATATTAAATAATCAATAAATTAATTACATGGGCACCTTCAGCTTTAGTGCGGACTTAAATGTTGCCAAAGAAATATTAAAAAATGACAAATCTAAATTGTTAGCAGTCCTGCATACTCTGTCGATAATCATAAAGTGACTGTAATTGGTGTTATGAGTTGCCAAGTAAAATATAGATTGACTTCTGACCGTTCTCTTAGGAACATGGAAATTCAATTGATGATGGTGGAAAAATACACCGAAACGTATTTTGATTAATAAATAGAGACAATAAATGACTGAAACCCAGGAATAGATTTGATTTGTCATGGTCACTGTCGGTACGAGTATTTGTTTACCTTTCTGAGCTCCCCCATCGGTAGATAAATTCGAGAATTTCTGAGTGACTGATTGACGGCGGATTTGTGTTTGACAGAAAATGTCAGTGCACTTGCAACTTGTTCTATCATAATAGCAGTTTTCGATACAAGGGCGAAATTTTCGGTTTTTCGCCCTC